TCTTCTGCGCCTGAGATTCTCTCTTCCATCTCTTGAATTCTGTTGGTTATGCTTGCGTCTGTAGTTCCTGATCTTTTGCCCAGTTTTTCTATTTCCAGCATTTCTTTGGTTTGTGTTGCCTTTATTTTCTCTATTTCAGTTTTCAAGTCTTGAACCGTTTCCTTCACCTGCGTAATTGTTTTTTCTTGGCTTTCTGAACTTTCTTTGCTTTCCTTAAGGAATTTGTTCAGTTCTCACACTTTTTTGTTTATTTTTTCCTCCATTTCTTTAAGGGGTTTTCTCACATCTTCTTTGAGGGCCTCTATCATTTTTATGACAATAATTTTTAAGTCATTCCCTTCTGCTTCCTCTGCTTTGTTGTTGTGTTCCGTTCTAGTTGGTGTAGGTTCCCTAGATTCTGTTGGTGTCATGCTTGTCTTTCTGTTGTAGGTGTTTTTTTGTATTGCCGTCTCCCCATATCTTCTTCCAATACGTGTTGGTGGGGTCTCCCCCTTTCTCTATGGTACTTCCCCTGTGGGCTTATGTGGGTCAGAGATTCAATATCTGTAGCTCTGGGTGGTCCAAGCTCTATAGGAGGTCTCTCCGCAGACAGAGACCCAGGGATGGGGTCAGGGCTGAGGATCCAGTAGAAGATGCCATTAGCCAATGGCTCTAGCCAATGGCTGGCGTAAGAGGGCAAAGGCTGAGCTGACACTTGGGAAGTTTCTGCAGGATAGTCTGTTCTCTCTCTCGAAACTGGCACTCTCCAGCTGAAGCCTCTTCCTTTAGCAGAGGCCCTGCTTTGGGGGTCAAGGATCTTGCAGGCAGAGTGGGAACTCAGAGTGGACCCCCGCAGAGATAGGTGGATCTTTGGGATGGGCCCAGGACTCCAGCAGAGGACTGGAGGTGGGGTCAGAGACCAAGCAGGTGGAAATTACAGGTGGCCCTGCTTGGATAGGCAGGTTTCCTTTGTTCAGAGTTGCTCGAGAAATCTCCAAAGTAGAGTGGACTGTTGGCTCCACCCTCTGTCCCAGTGCTCAACCAGAGCCACAGGACAGTGGGCAGTGGGGAGGGGGGTAGGGCACAGGGTGGGGGGCAGGCTCGTGGTGGGGATGGGTGGGGGTGTATCAGAGCTCCAAGGGTGCTCTCGATGGGGACAGGACACAGGAGCAGCAGGCTGTTATTTTTTTTTAATTTAGAGTTTCACAATGGCATGCATGTGCCACCCCTCATACATGAACAAATACTGAAAATATCTTAAAATACTCAGTTGCAAGGTCTTTTTTAAAAAGTCATTGCTATATTTTATGTTCATATCTTTTGTGTAGACAACATACCTAGATGGTAAGAACATCTCATTAGATAATAATGATGAGAAAGACTAGCTTCCGGCAAACACAATCACATGAAATGAGAAAGTTACAGAGACGAAAGAGATTATTTTCTGACAGAATTACATTACTTTTTATTTTTATGATTTCAACATTATTTATCTATTCAATGACTGACTGATTCACTTATTCACTGTGTGTGCAAACTTTCAGGAGATCAATTGAGTAAGGTACTGGACTCTGTGTGTGTGTGTGTGTGTGTGTGTGTGTGCTCTTTCAGGAGAGCAATTGAGTAAGGTACTGAACTCTCTATCTCTCTCTCTCTCTGTGTGTGTGTGTGTGTGTGTGTGTGTGTGTGTGTGTGTGTGTGTGTGTGTTCTCTTTCAGGAGAGCAATTGAGTAAGGTACTGAACTCTCTCTCGTGTGTGTGTGTGTGTGTGTGTGTGTGTGTGTGTGTGCGTGTGTGCACCTTAGCGCAAATATGGCTAGGACATTGGAGAGCAGGGAAATTCCACAGGAGCAATGATCTTCAGTGAACTGCCAACACTCAGCACTCTTTCCCAGTTCTGGGGCCAGAATGAGGACCGGGTTGTGTCAGGGCTCAGGCTGCTCCACCAGCAGCAAAAAGGGAAATCACCCAGCTTTTGGTGGTGCACAGGGCTGAAAGAATAAAAGGTGTGCCCAACTGTGCCCAGTTGGTCAATAACAAGCATGTCTGGGTCTAGGGTGTTCAAGAGGAGCCAGCACAAGGAGCTCTAGGAGGGTTTTCACAGTTGGGGGAGGGTAAAACTGAAAGCAGGGAGTGGGGGCTGCAGTCTAGTTAGCATCGAGCCAGCTTCATCTTTGTAAAATGAGTGACCTTGTCACTCTATAGAAAGTAAGGGCCCTCTGAGGTGAAAGAATGTATTGTGTAGAATATCTACTGCCCCTTTTACTTGATATCCAACAAAAGAAATCACTCAATATGTACAGAGATGAGGAAATGTGATAAATCAATGGAAGAAACTATAGACATAGACCCAAAAATGATCCAGATATTGAAGGAACCAGTGTTTCTTTTTATCTTTTGCTAAGTTTCCTAGGATTGCCTTGACTAGGATTGCCAAGGCTAGCCTAAAAGCAATCCTCCTGTCCTAGCTTCCTGGGTCCTAGAATTTCAGACATGTGCCATTAGCTTTCCAGATAATGGTTTCTTTTTATTTTTATTTATTTATTTATTTATTTATTGGTTTTTGTAAACAAGGTTTCTCTGTAGCTTTGGAATCTATCCTGGAACTCACTCTGTAGACCAGGCTGGCCTTAAACTCACAGAGATCCACCTGCCTCTGCCTCCCAAGTGCTAGGATTTAAGCCATGTGCCACCATGGCCCAACTCCAGATAATGATTTTATAAAATAATCGTTAATGTGTTAAAGAAAACAGGAAATGATAGCAAAACAAATGAAAGGGTATTTTCATAATTTTAAAAAATGGAATGCATTGAAAGGAACAATGGGCATTCCCAGAACTGAAAAATATATTGTTCACAATTAAAATTTAATTTAATGTATTCAACAGATAGGATGGGATACAACATAAAACAAAATTAGTAAAGTTAACAATCCATATCAAATTAATCAGTGAAAAAGATCCAAAATTGCACCCAGAAGAAAAAAGTTAACAGAGCAAAGAAAACAGAGGGTAAAGGTAAAATTTCATTATATTCATGATTGAATTCCTATAAAACAAGAGAACTGATTAGAAATAATAATAATTTAAGTGATTGGCTGTAAAACTAATGAAAACTAAATATCAGTCAGCAGATTCAATAAGCCTAGTGTACCAGACAGGTTTTTGTTTTGTTTCTTCTTCTCCTCCTCCTACTCCTACTCCTACTCCTCCCCCTCCCTCCTCCTTCCTTCTCCTTCCTTCTCCTTCTCCTTGAGTCTTACCATTATCATTCATGGCCTCAAGGAATCCTCAGCCCCAGTCTCCCCAGCAGGTGGAGCTATATCTACCACTGGTATGAGTAGGTTTTTTGGTTTTGGTTTTCCTTTATTCGGAATGCACACAAGTTTGTAGAGAGATGGTATTGTAGGTGAACTACTAGGATTTACTTAGAATACATAGGTGACATTCAGAAGAAGTCAAATATACATGGGTTCTTCGATAAGAGGTTATGCATTATACATATTTGCAGGTGGCTTTTAGAAGAGTAAAGGTACTGGAAAAAATGAAATAAATACATATATACATATACATATACATATACATACATACATACATACATACATATATATATATATATATAGAGAGAGAGAGAGAGAGATGGAAAATGATCTCCCAGAGAAAGTGAATGGGTGAGGCCCAAGATTTCTATTCACCTGCAATTAATGCATGAGCAGAGGTGACTGAAGGACTTCTCAGGATAAAATTATGAGGCAAATCCTTATCTAACATATTCAAGTTATTACATATCTAAGTATGTTAATAAATACTTCCTGAAAGGAAGACCTGTACCAAATAGGCCTGGAAGTTGAATGGCTCTCCTCTCCCCTTCCCTAAAGCTCTCCTTCCCAAGATGTTTTCCGCTTGAAACTCCTCCTACATCACCCACAACACACACCAACTATTTACAGACAAAATAGAAGTCGCCAGAACGGTCTCAACTCCCTACCCCCAGGAGACTAAAATTTTGTAGTCAGCACCATACTGTCCTCCTGAAACGCGGGGCAGAATAGGGAAATATGGTGAGTGGGGTGTTAGAGAAGGAAGCCTTGTTTTTCCAAACGGTACCCTGATAAAGACAGAAAGCAACCTATGCTCAATCAGGGCTAGATGATATACTTCCAAACCCACCAGTGATAAGGCCAAAATGACACATAACCTTGAACTCCTGGCCTCCCCTCTTCCAGAGCTAAATGAAGTCACTCAAATCTACCATACAACTTCAGTTACTGGGAGAAAAAGAAACTTTTAATCTAACCTTGTTACAAACTACACTCTGAGTAATGTCAGAAAAAAAGTTGTGGGGGGGGGCGGTATCTCTTAAAGATGCTACTTTGAAAGCCACAAGAAAAAAAAGTATAACCCATCGTAAAGACACATACACTGGACTGTTCTTCAGAAGTCCACAGCTGTCCGATCGGGAGTGTTTTACTCTGTCTATTGCAGCACCTTTGTTTCTGCTTTTAATAAACCCAGTTTTGCTTCACACCAGTTTGCCCTGAGGCTCATTTCTTTGTTGGAACCAAGCCCCCAGCTTTTGCCTGGGTGGCGAGCTCTAAAAAGACATTGTGTGGAGCTGCACGTGAGCCTTCTTCCCTCGTGCTAAAGGGGCGAGGTAACTCTGACTGCCATCACTGGCAAGTCTCTTGTTCTAGGCTGTCCGCCCACTTCCTGCTTAAGATGCTCTTCAGAATAGCACTCTCTCTCTTTTCCTCCCGTGTTTGCCATGCCTTCCCTTGACCCTCTTGTCTACACCTTACCAGTGGACGCTTGGGGTTTCCACCCAGGGCCCTGTGCTCGTTCTCCCTGCAGAGTGTCACCTTCTTCCTCGCCTTTCCTTCTTATCCCCATCCCTGCTTTAGACACCGTGCCCCGCCCCAGTCTTCTCGAACCTTTCCCTCCCTCTGCAGTTGCCCACGTTTGGCCTTTCCCGCCCCTCTCCTTCCCAGCCGCCCTGTGCGTGAGACTGCGTGGCTCCGGTACCTCGCAGATCTGAGGAATGTAGTTGTCCCTGAAGTAGTTCCTCAGTTTGGGGGTGGCACTGCGTAGAGAAGCCATGGCCAGAGGCTGCACTGAGAAACTGCGCTCTGCAGACTACCGGTGTCGACGCCCGGCAGGCCGGCCGCGTCGGGGCGTTGCCTGGCAACCGCGGGGACGCAGCGATACAGTTCCCCCCCCCTCACCCCACCCCCGCTGGAGACGGAAAACAGAGCCTGAGGGGAGGGGCGGGGCAGACTTGAAGGGGCGGGGCTGGGCGCGGCCTGGGGCAGGACATTGCTGGGCGGGGGACGGTCGGGGCGGAGCTAGAGGCTGGCTCCGCCGGGCGGTCGGGGTCCGGGAAGCAGCTGCAGCGCGGGCCGCGGCTCCAAGTGCGGGGCGGCTCCGGCCATCCCATCCCGCCCTCCTGGTGATGCAGTGCGTCGGGTGGGAGGGCTTCCGATTCTAGCAGGGCGGCTTCCGGAGGGCGGGCTTCAACCCCATTTCCCCTCTCTGGGCCTGAGCTGGTTCTGGCCCTGCTGCACCTGCGTATGGTGCTGGTTTCCCCGCTCTGTGCAGCTCGGCGGCGGCAGCATGGGCGGCGCGCGGGACGTGGGCTGGGTGGCGGCGGGGCTGGTCCTTGGCGCCGGGGCCTGCTACTGCATCTACCGGCTGACTCGGGGCCCGCGGCTATGCGGGCGCAAGCTGCGCTCCTCACGGTCCGCAGGTGAGGCGATCGGCCACCCGCAAGGTGGACAGGTTCGGGGCTCCTGGACCACCCCGAGCTGGGCCGGGCCAGAGGTGCCCTAGGCACTAGCGACTCCCTGTCGTCGCAGAAAACTAGGTCTGAGTGAAAGGATATGGGGCAGGGCGGGAAGGAATGCTGGAGGTAGACGACTTTAGAAGCCCAGGTTGCCTTGGGTGGGTCCTGAGCCTCTTCCCTGCCCCCACTGTGTTTAAAATAAGGGCTGAAGACATTGCCCTAAGTTTCCTGTTGCTTCCCTCCGGCTTCACAATCGAGAATTAAGGTTTCTCCAAGCCATGTAGATTGCCTGCCACTTTAAAATTTGTCCTGGGCATTCGTGTTACCAAAGAGATGCCCTTGACTACGAGAGGGTTACTACGGTGTGGGGAGGAGGGGGGATTTAAGCCCAGGCTGAAACTTTGCACGTAGCTGTGTGAAGAAGGGATCCCTGAGATGCAATTCTGCCAACACTTTATGGGACCTATCCCGGAGTCTGTTCGTAGCATCCTGCAACTCCGGGGTTTATGTTGGAAATATGACCCTTAGCCTACACAGGATACAACCTTCAGACAGACAAGGCTTGTCGGCTCAGTCCTATGGTAATAATTACTACATATTCTAAAGGGATCGTTTAGGTCGTGAAAACTCTTGGGAAAACTTTAAAATAAAGTCTGCCAACTAAAAACCCGCTTTCCTCAGAGGTAGAGAAATGTATTTTTTTTAGTTGAGTAATTATTAAAACATTTTACTGACACCATTACATGTAATCTGCTAATGTCACTCCAGAGACAGAATTCTCACCTCTGTGTAGCTGGGCATATGTAAAATAAATAGTAGCTTGTCCCTAAAATAAGAGGACTTGACAATACCATTTTATACACATAGTTCATCTCAAGTCCACTGAGAGTCCACTTTTTGGTGGGAGCTAATTGCCTTTCCCTAAAGGGAAAATAAAGCACCTTTCTTTACCTATCAGTTCGTAGAAAAACATCTTTGCTGGGCAGTGGTGGCACTGGCCTTTAATCCCAGTACTAGGGAGGAAGAGGCAGGAGTATCTCTTGAGTTCAAGGCCAGCTTGGTCTACAGAGCAAACTCCAGGGCAGCTAGGGCTATACAGAAAAACCCTTTCTAGAAAAGCCAAAAATAAAATGAAAAACATCCTTGGGTTGTACAACAGGCATTTACTTTTCAAAATTTGCACTTACATGAAGGGACCAGGACCAACCATGGATTTATATATTCCAGCCTTCTGTTTTCTCCAGGATAAGAAAGGGGATGTATTGTGCCTTTCCCTCTTGTCCCTGAGGAAAACAGTTTTTGAAGATGAGCATTTGCCCCTAGAAAGACTGGATTTTCTCTTTCTCTGCCAAATATTTGTATACAATAATTTTTTTTTTGTTGTTTTCAGTTTCTGGAGACAGGGTTTCTCTATGTAGCCCTAGTAGTCCTGAATCACTCTGTAGATCAGGCTGGCCTTGCAGAGATCCACTTGCCTCTGCCTCCTGAGTTCTGGGATTAAAGGCATACACCACCACCAGCTGTCATGTTTTGTTTTAAGGTAGAAGGTCTGATGGAATACATCCTGTCCTGGAACTCACTGTGTAGCATAAAATGGAATGTCTGATCCTCCTTTTTCTACCTCCCTGGCTGCTGGGTGTGACAGCATGTGTCACCATACTTTGGTTCTGGAAATGAACCTACAGACTCTTCCCAAAGTTCTACCCTTGTATTTGAAGAGAAATCTTTTCTTTGTCTTAAACCTTTGAGAAATGTGTAATTCCGGTTACGAGGTTCCTCAGTCTGGCACAGGATGATATTGTGCAGCTGTAATCCCCATCACTCAGCAGGCTGAGGTGGGAGGATCAAGAATCAACTAGGGTCTAGGTTATACAGTGAACACCTGTCTCCAAAAAGAAGTGTAATTCCTGAACTAAGACTCTTTGAGGCCACTGGAAAACATGGAAACAGTATTAAACAGTCCAGCCTGACATAAGAACCTGACAAAAATAATATAAACCTCACTCAATCATGAATAAAGAAAATCTATCAGAGGGTTAAGGAAATGTTATCTAAAGGCCAGATGGACATAAAAGGATAATTCATAGGACTATATGTTATGTATTCCATTAATATATTTTTAAACTACATAATAATGTATAAAAGTCATTAAAATAGTATTTCTGATTTGCAACATTAGGAATAGAAGGAAATGTTCTTAAAACAAAGGCAAAGATACTTTAAAGGTATTTAATATTAAAGTATTAGTTGTATCTTTACTAAGTTCAAGAATAAGCTGTGCCGTGACAACTATTTAGCACGGTCCTTGTCATCTAATTTGTAAAAAGGACTACTTTGAGTCAGAAAAGTACCAGAGAATTAACTGAACATTAGAAGTGGGGGGAGGGGTAAAATAGAACACTCCACAAATGCACTGAGTAATGTCTTATGTCTAAACACTATGTACAAGTTTTCAGTATAAATTTAACTGAAGATATTTAATTTATAATAACTCCTAAAACTAGCAATCTATCTACCAGGAAGATGTATTTTGATAAACCACACAGCACCTCAATGGAATTAGGATTGTGTTTCATTTCCATAGGTTTCATGCCTGAGAGACTCTTAAAAAGGAGATTCAGCCCTGCCTTTACCTTAGTTACCTTAGTTAACCAATGCTGTTTAGGCAAATATCCCGTGGGATCCTATACCTGATGTTTAAAGTAGGAGAAAAAATGCTGTCAACATTAGGGCTACATGTTATGTACATGCAATGCCTTTTTATAGCCATGTAGTATGGGACTGCTGGCTAATACTTGATGGCTATGAACCTTTGTTCCCTACATAAATTCAGAATAATAAAACTATCTTTCTCCTAGGAATAACTGAGGATCTAATGATATAAAACATGTAAAGTGCTTAAAACTAGCAATTCCAGGCAGCTGTCTGCAGAACCTCTGACAGTTGGGCTACCCACTCAGAAAAGGCTTAACTTTTCCTTCCCATTATTTTTGACTCTGGCAAAGCCTAGGCAAGCCTTTTCCCACTGCACTTTCTCAACCCTTAGTCGTTCACTTCCTCTTCCACTTGGCCTCCATTGCTGCAACGAGCTGTCTTCTTGCAGCCATGACCTCTCTCTTCCCCTTCTCTCATCCCCCTCCTGCCAGTAGATGCCAGGATTTATGCCTGCCCTCTTGCTTTCTCTCAAATATTATAAAAATTGTTCCTAAGCTTTAAGAAACAAAACAAGTAACTGCTTAGCACCAGAGTTTGCATTTGAACTTTTCAAACATTAGGGACAAAAGAAAACACCCCATTCATGATTTTTAATGAATGTTAAATGTCTTTCTTCTTATGCAGAAGACTTAACCGATGGTTCCTATGATGAGGTCTTAAATGCTGAACAACTTGAGAAACTTCTCTATCTGCTAGAGTCAACTGATGATCCTATAATTGTTGAAAAAGCCTTGATCACCCTGGGAAATAATGCAGCTTTTTCAATTAATCAAGTAAGTTTTCCCCCTTTTACACACATTAGTAGTTATGACTCCTGGTATGTAACTCTTAGAGCCGCCGCATCCTCATATGGCTACTTATGCTCACATTATTTGGGTTTTTTGCTTCAGAAAATCACAGCCAAATAATGACATGGAGTAATTTATGAAAAGCTAGACACTAGCATCATAGTCATAATAGTTCCTATTCAACAAAAAGCAAACCTTCCATAAAATAGTAAAAGCATCTAACATGTATGTGTTTAATTAGGGTGGTCCTGATGTAGGTGATCCCTTGGCCAGCAATGACCACCAAGTCAATGTAAATGGCTAAGACTAAAGAATTTAATGTGAATGATTCTTTCCCCCTTCCCCCACAGAAAACAAGTAAAAACAAGTCGGGGGGGGGGGATGGTGATTCCAACACTGCTTCTTGTTAATGTTGTCATCAATGAAGACTTATTTTGAACTAAAAAAAAAGAAATTTTGAATGTTGTGTCACTGAAAAGTGATACATGCTTGAAATATGCATTTAAAGCCCAGGTATGCATGCAACACATGCTTGTATCAAAACGTACAAACTACTCCATTAATTTATATTTATATTTTGTGTGTGTGTATCACTTAAAACAAAGGGAGATAGATCATTGTGTAAAGTGCACTGGCCCACATGAAAAGCCAGGCATAGCGCCATGCACTTGCATCCAGCACTGGGGAAGCAGTGACAGGCGGTCCCTGGGACACAGTGGCCTAAGTATGGCCTAATCAACAAGCCCCGATGGTAATGAGAGACTCCGTCTCAAAATACAACTGCTGAGAAACAGTACTCAAGGTTGACCTCTGGCTCACATTTGTGAACATGCTCCCACATACGTGAGTGTGCACCCACATACACACACACACACACACACACACACACACACACACGAAAAGTAAAATAAATAAATAATGAAAGTAAAGAAAGAAATGTAAACTTAGGGCTGAGGACACAGCTCAGAGGTAAAGTACTCATCTTACAAGCATGAGGACCTAATTTCAATCCCCAGAACTCAGACTAGAAAAGCCAAGAGCCAGGTGTGGCACATGCTTGTAAGCACTGGCAAGGTGAGGACAAAAAGATGTTACCTGAGGTTCCCTGGCTGGCCAGCCTCGTCTGCTCATTGCACTGATTATACCCATTTGTGATGAACCCTGAATCACCAGTAATGCATCTGTGTCACGTTGAGGAAATAAAGAAAATCGCTTCCCCTTAGCCAACAGTGAGTGCACCCTACTTATGCTCCCTGTCTTTTTCCTCTGTCTGTCCATTTTATGACCCTGAATCTGTGCCTGCCCCTGTGTGTGTGTGCCTGTGTGTGTGTCCGAGTGATGTAACTGGCTGTGCCTACAAAGGGCCTCACTATTTATTGAACAGCGTCTTGGTGTTTCTGTTGCTGTGAAGAGACACCATAACCATGGCAATTCTTGTAAAGGAAAACATTTCATTGGGGCTGGCTTACAGTTCAGAGGTTTAGTCCATTACTGTCATAGTGGGAAATGGAAAGGCATGTAGGCAGGCATGCTAAAGAGATAGCTGAGAATTCTACATCTGGATCCGCAGGCAGCAGGAAGAGGGTGACACTGGGCCAAGCTTGAGCGTCTGAAACCTCAAAGCCTACTTCTCTTTTCATTCAGACTACCACAAAGAGCATAGAAAACATCATGTGGGACAGATGGAATGCTTTACAGAAATCTTTAACAATCCCAGCACTCAGGAGGTAGAGGCAGGTGGATCTTTGAGAGATCTAGTCTACAAGAGCTAGTTCCAGGACAGCCTTCAAAGCCACAGATAAACCCTGTCTCGAAAAAACAAAAAGAGAGAGAAATCTTTGACAGTTTTACAAAGGATTAAGTTACTGACCCAACTGATCCCAACTGACCCAGATAAATAGTCACTTTCAACTTTTGTATTTGCTGCTTTCAGCAAATGATATACATGCATTATTCTGGTTCAGAGGCAAGAAAGAGTATGTAACTCTACACTGTGCCACATTAGTTTAGGTTGTAAAAGCTGATTGCATGGGAAATCCAAGGCCAGGTTGGTAGTTACATCATTCTCCTAAAGGCAGGTAAAACAAACAGTTTGAATACATAGTAGGCTAGCAATCTTAAATAACTTTAAGATTTATTACTAACTTTAGCTATGAGGTCCAACAAAAAGCCTGGACTTAGAATATAAGAGATATTTCAGATTAGTATATCTCCACACTTGTTGAGTCCCAGCCAATGACAAAATGTCTCAAAAAAAAAAAAAAAGTGATTGGCATTTTGAACAATGACAGCTGAGGTTTCCCTCTGTTCTCACACACACACATTCACATAGATACAATTTTCTTAAATAAGATTTGTTTATAAGAATAGCATTTCTCTAAAGTGATTAATTTTAGTTGAATTTCTAGATGCAGGAACTCAGTAAAAGAGCTGCATGTTGAAGTTAAGGCCCATTTATTCCCTCTCTCTTAGGCCATTATTCGTGAGCTGGGTGGTATCCCAATCATTGGAAACAAAATCTACTCTCTGAATCACAGTATTAAAGAGAAAGCTTTAAATGCACTAAATAACCTGAGTGTGAATGTTGAAAATCAAGTCAAGATAAAGGTAAGTTGTCTGAAATAATAATGGTGAGTAGTGAAACCAGCAGGGTGTGCTCATAACTGTATAGCTAACAACTACCTTTAAAGAAAGAGAAACGAAGGCTTTTGTAGTTGGGCTCATCTTAATTCAGGAACACTAAAATAACAAAGACAGAATCAAGAAACACATCCCAGTAGAAAGACTCAGTAAACTAAGAAACCAAGTGGATGCAACTTAGTGTTTTTAAACTATTCTGTGGTACAGGATGGCACTTTTGATCTGAAAAGTTCTTCTAAAGCCAATGAGGAAAAAGAACAAATCCACAGAAAAGTGGGTAAAAGATAAAGATAACTGGTTTGAGTCCATTGTCGCACTCAAATACCCAGCACACCTATCTAAGGAGAGACAGTTGGTTCACAAGTATAGCGTGGAGCTTTAAACTTTGATCTCTGCTTTCTTATTGTTACATTGCCACATCTATGAAGGCGTGGATACATTTCTCACAAACATTAACAAAGGTGTATTGGGTGCTTAGTTGATCATTTCTTAGAACTTCAAATGAGAGACATTTTCGTACAAGTTTATATATTTTGGTGTCATTCAGATCTAGTAATTTTTCCAGTGTGGAAAGTAATGCATGAAGTCGGGTACTCACAGTGCTTCCTTGCCTTTGTTTTCGCCGGTGGAAGTAGATCGTAGTGCGGATACGCACATACATGCATCTATTAATTAAAGAACCGCCTTGAGCTAATTTGATTTTGCTCTGCTGGCTTTTGATTCTCAGCACAATGCCAGGTCATTAAGAAAGGCAGTTTAACTAAAACAGTCACCAGAGTTAGAGGGGCAGACATTAATGTGCTCAGTTGTGAAGAACCAGTTCATTCCAAGATCTACTCTAGCATGTAGGAAAGTAGCCATTTCGTAGAAGCTTCTGAGTAGTCTGAAATGTTGTCTTTCTCTCTTGCTTTCAGGTATATGTCCAGCGAGTCTGTGAAGATGTTTTTGCAGATCCCCTGAACTCTGCTGTGCAGCTGGCTGGCCTGAGATTGCTCACAAACATGACTGTCACCAATGATTACCAGCATCTGCTCAGCAGCTACATTACTGGCCTGCTCCACCTGTCACTTATTGGAAACGGAAGCACCAAGGTAGTGGATACAGCATCAGTACTGAAAGTTGAGCTGTTGCATCAAACTACTAAGATTGAATTTCCAGTCCATTCATGGTAGCACATACCTTTAATCCCCATGCTCTGGGATATAGAGGCAGGTGGAGGTCTATGAGTTCCAGTGACATTGGAAATTGCAGGCCATCTATTTCTACCCTGCATTCCCTCTAAAAGATAGTGGTACCTTTAATCTCAGCACTTGAAAGTCAGAGGCAGGTAGATCTGTGTGAGTTCATATCAACCTAATCTGTATAGCAAATTCCAACAGGCAGGGCCACATAAAGAAACCCTGTATCAAAAAAAAAAAAAGATAGTCCACTCAAAGTTTATGGAAAATACTTATAGGAGTCCAAGGACGCATATTATTTTATTTCCTAACACTGAATTGCAGAATCATTGTGCAAAGACCATGTACTCAATCTCTTGCCTCAGATGGGGAGTTATCTTATTTTCTGACAATCAGTAGAATCATGTTTTACTGAGATCACTAACATCCTTTAACCAGAAAAAGCAACACTGAGTAAAAAGGGCTCTGAGAAATAGTGACAATAAGTTGAATCTTTTACTTCAGGATTGACCCAGTCTTTAATTAGTATACAAAGTAATGAGTTTCATTGTTTTATTTTTTATGTATAGTTTTGTTGTTTTTAGTTTGGGTTTTTTTTGTTTTGTTTTGTTTGTTTGTTTGTTTGTTTGTTTTTGTGGGGGGGGGTGTTACTGAAACTCGCCCTGTACACCATGCTGGCCTCAAACTCACAGAGATCTGCTTGCCTCTGCCTCCTGAGTGCTATGTATATAGTTTTTGTTACTTCTTGTCCTAGTTAAGGTTTCTGTTGCTGTCAAGAGATACCATGACCATGACAATTCTTATAGAGGAAACAGTTAATTGAGGTGGCAGCTTATAGTTTCAGAGGTTCAGTCCATTATCACCATAGAGGGGAGCATGGGAGCATGCAGGCAGACATGGTGCTAGCTACATCTTGATCAGAAGACAACAGGAAGTAGACTTGGACACTTGAGCATAGGAAACCAAAAAGCCCACTGTCCAACAATGTCATACCCACTCCAACAAAGCAATACCTCTTAATAGTGGTACTCCCTATCAGTTTATGGAGCCAATTACATTCAAACCACTACATTCCACTCCCTCGCCCCCATAAGCTTTTAATATCATAATGCAAAATGCATTTCGTCCAACTTCAAAAGTCCCCATAGTCTAGTACAGGCTGAACAATGTTTAAAAACACAAAGTTCAAAGTCTCTTCTGAGATTCATGCAGACTCTTAACTCTAATCCCCAATAAAATAAAAATCACATACTTTCAACATATAATAGCTCAAGATCTACATTACCATTCTAAAACATAGGGATGGGAGCATAATGAGGAAATACGGGACTAAAGCAAGACCAAAGACCAGCAGGGCAAATTCCAGACTGCATCTCCATGTCTGATGGCAAATGCTCTTCAGATCTCCAACTCCATTCAGCTTTGTTGACTGTAACACACTTCTTTCTCTTGAGCGGATTCCACTCCCTGTTAGCAGCTCTCGGCATGTCATCTCTGTCGTCTCTAATACCTTGGGGATTTCAGCTTCACACATGGCCTCTCTGTGCGTCCATTCAGAGACACTACTGACACATGCCTGCCCTCAATGGCTTTCCTTAGTCTCGGGGGGCAAGTTCCATAACCCCTTCTGTTCTTAAGTCCAGAACCACGAGGCTGAAACTGCCAAGTTGGACTACTTACTGGGGCTGGATCATTGCCCCCTTGTTCAATTACTTACATCTTTACCAGCTTTCTGTCCTTTGCTGCCTAAGCTTGGCTGTCCTGAAACTTGCTCTGTACACCAGGCTGGTCTCAAGAGAGTCACCAGCCTCTGCTTTCCCAATGCTGGTTTTAAAGGTGTACACCACACCTGGCTCTAAGCTTTTCTTTAGTTCTTTTTTATAAGGTGGAAACTTAGCTGGGTGGGGTCTTGCCCTGAGGTCACCACTCCCTTTATTCCATTTCTTAATCCATTTTTATCCTTGAAAACAGGATTTAATTCTATTCCACATACTGGTACCCTTTTCTCAATCTGTACATTTTTGTATTTTCATTTGTTCAGCTTGTTCCTTTGCATTATACATTTTTATCAGACTTTACACTAATAACCATATAACAGAGTATATACTACGATGTTTTGGAATTAATCCAGATCTCATGTTCACTTTAGCCTCAGGCAGACTCTTTAGACAAGCAGCCACATTCTTCACCAAATATCACAGGAACGATATCATATTAAACAACTTGAGGTAGCCCCACAGTTCATCCAATCACACATGGCACCATTGTCTTCCACGCTCCTACTAGTGTGGCCCATTAAGCAGTGCTTAAAGCATCCCACTGCTTCCCTAACTCAAAGCATCAAAGTCCAAACAAAAACATGGTCCAGCCTATCACAGCAACATCTCAGTCCCTGTTACCACCTGTGTCTTAGGGTTTCTATTCTATGAGGAAACACCATGACCATTTAATTGAGGTGGTAGCTTACAGTTTCAGAAGTCCAGCCCATTATTATCATGGAAGGAGCATGGCAGCATGCAGGCAGATGTAGTGCTGGCTATGTCTTGTATAGAAGGCCGCAGGAAGTGGACTCAGACACTGGGCAATATCCTAAGCATAGGAAACCCCAAAGCCTGCCCCACAGTGACACCCTTTCTCCAAAAGGTCACACCCACTCCAAAAAAGCCACACCTCCTAATAGTGCCACTCCCGATGGCTTTATGGGGGCCAGTTACATTAAAACTACACATTCCTCCTCCCCAACTCCTTTCCTTCTCAACCTTGCTTGCCCTCCTTATCTTTCTCCCTCCCAGTGTCCCTTTCCATTTTCATGTCACATACAGACTATCGTCATCATGATTACACTTATTTATAAGAAGGGAGGAACTCATGTGCTACAGTGCACATATCCAACTTGTAGGAGTCGGTTCTCCTTCCAACATGTTGGTCTCGGTGATTGAACTTCAGTTTTCAGGCTTGGTGGCAGGCCTTTTGCCTCTCACCAGCCCTCTTTTAAAAAGTTTTCTTGTGTGTCTGTCTGTCTGTCTGTCTGTGTGGTGGATGTGTGGCATGAAGCATATGTGGGAGTCAGAGCAAAACTGTGGAATTGGTTTTCTCTTTCCTCCTTAACATGGATTTAGGGGCTCGAACTCAGGTTCCCAGGTTTGCACACATGCCATATCCGATGAGTCTTTTCATGGCCCTTAATTTATATATTTATTTTTTGAGGTGGGGATCTCATTGTGCAGCAGAGGATGACCTTGGATTCTCATCTACCCTTCACCTTCTGAGTGCTGGGATTACAGATGTGCACTACCTTGCCTGGTTTTAATATCCTGGCAAAGATGGAACCCAGCAACACTTTACAACTGCAATATGTCCCCAGCGCTCCATTACCCTCTTAACAAAATGGATTGTTCAAGGCAATCTAGTGCACAGCTTTCATTCCTGTTACCTGCTCCACGCTTCACTGACTTACAGCCAAGCACTTCATTCCTTAGACGTGTTATTGGTGTTACAGACAGCATCAGGCTAGCTGAGATCTCACAGGAGAGTCAGAGGTCATGCTTGCTTTCTTGCCTTTAATAGTCCATCTGAAAAGCATGATCCTGGCAAAACATCCCCATTTTCAGGCAGGATGGCCCACTGGCATAGGCTTTTGTTTTCACCTTGTTCTCTTCTGTACTGTTTGATATTTGATTGTGACAATGTATTCATTTTACAAATTTTTAATTTTTTTGGAAGGGTTTCTCTGTACAGCCCTGGCCTGGAACTTGCTCTGTAGAGCAGGCTGGCCCCAAACTCATGCAGATCTCTGCCTCCTGAGTGCACCTCCACACCTGACAAAACTGTAAAAGATGATAAAATGAGGTTAAGCAAAGTTTCATCACCTCCTTTTTAAGTAGGTTCACATGTGACCAAAGGAATTGTAAGCATACAGTATGGTATGGAAACTCCCTTTTCTTTATTTTCCTGTTTTTAGAAATGTTCTAGGGCTAAGGTAGACCTCCATAGGTAGTGCCCAGGAGACCCATGTTTGATCCCCATCACCCTCTCCCCCAAAGTTCTAGGTCAGTATCTGTTGGCCTGTTTAATAAATTCTCAAAATTCAGATCCAGGTTCCTTCCTAGATCCAGTGAAAAGGGGGATTGTTTTTCCCTGGTTTTAGTACCCTCGTCCTTCTCACTGTAATTTCAACCAACTTATGGAAAGTGTGGGACTAGAGAGATAGCTCAGCACCTAAAAGCATGTGTTGCTCTTTCAGAGGACCCAGGTTTGGTACCAAACACCCACATGGCCAATGGTAACTCCAGTTTCAGAGGCTCCAGTGCCCCCTTCTGACCTCTTCAGGCATTGCACATGCACAGTCCATACGCATACATACAGGCAAAAACATTTATACACATAAACACAATAAATAAGTCTAAGCATTTTAAGGCATTCTACTTAATTATTGATTTTCAGAAATAAGTAATAAGAATGCTAGCATTTTAATTAGCTATTAAGGCACTCATTTCCCATTTAAATGATCATAAAACATTTTTCACATTTTAAAAAGATAACCGCCAAGATTCCCAATAACCTTGTAGAAGGAAAGGACCGTAGTATCTAGTTATGGTGACTAAACTCGCAGAATGTTGATAACTTTCATGTGAAATAAACTAAGCTTTGAGAGGTTTCTGTTGTTCAAAGATCAGATTCTCTTTATCAGGACTCATAATAAAAATGACCTAAGAGTTGGGGGAATGGTTCTTTGGTTAAAATGTTCATTGTGCAAGCATGAGATCAGAAGTTTAGATCCCAGTAGCCATGTAATGCTGGGTGGGTGGCCTGCCTGTAATCGCAGCATGGGGGTGAGGTGAGAACCCTGGAACAAGCTGGCTACACTAGACAAATTGATAAGTTCTGGGTTCAATCAAGGAAACCACTGACCTCAGCCTCTGGCTCCCTCATGCACAAACATGGGGAAAAGGAGGTGATTTAACTCATACCAGACTTACAGTATTGGAAGACATTGCTACTTCATCCTGTTTCCCCAGCAGCTGAAACAGAAGTGAGGTATAGATGTCACTGGTCTCAAGGTGGTGCCAAGGGTCAGAGGAGCTGAGCGGAGACTTAATGGAAAGAACTGGAGCCAGGCTTGGAGGTGCAGACAGTAGTTTATGGGTACCAGAGAGAGAGAGAGAGAGAGAGAGAGAGAGAGAGAGAGAGAGAGGACAGCATCTTAGAGGTCGTGCTTGCTGATCCAGTAAACCCAGCCTTCTGCCGGCAGGTTCAGGTTTTGAAGCTGCTTTTGAATTTGTCTGAGAATCCAGCCATGACAGAAGGACTACTGAGTGCTCAGGTAAGTAGATCACCTACCTGGTTTGTAAATGCACATATACATAAATTTTTGACAAATAGATCTAGGAAGGTCTACCCAAAAACATTCACAGAGATTATCTCTGCAGAGCAGTGCCAAGGTATTAGCTTATTGTTCCTCATATATATGAAAGTGTTTACTGAAACAAGCATATCTTACTTTTCAAAACCATCTTTAAAAATTCTCTGGATCAGCATTGAATTTTCCATCTCTGCTCCATATGCAGTACACAGTATCATTGCATTTTTAAATTTGGTTTATGTACCTCAGCATCTGCTGAGACAACAGTGTTGAGTCAGAGTGCCTGAACCAGCAAGTAAATGGTGTTCATTCTCATGGAACTTAGGAGACCCAAACCTATAACCAATAAGCAAGATCATTAAAAACTGTCCCCATGTTCTGAAGCAAATTGAAGTGGCGCAGAGGTGGCCTGGAATTCTCCGTGTGCAGAAATAAGCCCATCCACTCAGCCCCGTCCCCCATACTGTGTATGAGCAGTAATACTGGTTGAACTAATGAGTTCTTACATAAACTGGATGTCTGCACTCCAGGGTTCCAAAGAAATCTTACTTTTTAGCTAACCAACAAAACCTCATTTTCATTTGTAACATGGAGATAAAAATTGTACTGGTCTAAGTTATCAGTTGGGGTTGCTTGCCTGTGGTCACTTTTAAATGTAAACCAGTGAGTGCTACTCCATGAAAATGACACTCTGTGTTTCCTCTTTCAGGTGGATTCTTCATTTCTTTCCCTTTTTGATGGCCAAATGGCAAATGAGATTCTTCTCCGGGCACTTACACTGTTTCAGAATATAAACAACTGCTTCAGAGAAGGCTGCCCAGCTGGTCAGCCTCCCTTCGCTAAAGGGTCCTTGTTCTCCCTGCTGTATGGAGAAGACTGTGCCCAGAAAATGAGGGCTTTACTTTACCATCATGATGTGGATGTGAAGGAAAAGGCTTTAGCAATAATGCCCAAGTTCTGATTAGTTGATCTTGCTTTGCTTTAGAGTAATGCAGTCTTAAGTTGGCACTCAGCAGCTTCCTGTCCGCTCCCTTTAAAGGGTTTTTCAGCTGATGGAGTCAAACAATAAAAGTCCTATTTTATTAACACAGTTCAGGGAAGCAGCTGTAATCCAACATGACATTCAAACTTTGGGATTTTGGAGTAGTTCAGATTTGGGGTTTGAGGATTAGGTATGATCAACAGTCTACAAATACACCAGGCTGAACATTCAGAGGATGTGACTCACTGGTTTTGCTCTTTGGATTTATTTGAATGATTTTACTGGTATCAGATAAGTATGAGAGATTGTACTGAAGATACTTAACTGAGATTTTAATGGTCCCCTCATGTGGAATGAGTGGCCTTTCTCTGTACAATCCTGACTCCTGGATTTGCAGCTGCTCATGAGCCTGCCTTAGTTGCTGAGTTGAAGACTATGAAGACAGAACCACCACAAAAGCCCTGCACCCTGCACACAATGATACCCAAGCTCAAGCCCACCTGCCCACCCCTCCACCATCAGGTCATTTGGTCATCATCAGAATCTTCCCTCATCATTTCTGATCAGTACAGCTGTATTTCCATTCACAGGGAAAATGTTTTCTTAGTACTCACCGCCGTGTATAATGGACGTGTAAAATACTGGAGAGCAATCCAAGTTTGCACCCACAGGCAGCTGGTAAACCAAGCAGCCACACTTTTAAAAAGATGGATATACTCATACAGAAATACACCTGTGAAGTGGATGTTTTTAAAAGCATACTGTAAAACAATGTACTATGGTCCTTTGTATTTTTTTTAACAATGAGAAACATACATGGACAGAACACTTCTAGAATGTTACATAAAACTTCTGGACATAGGACTGGGAGGTAGGTACATTGGATTTTTTGTATGTACTCATTTTTACTGTTTGAATATTTTTTACTGAGCATAAATTGTTTAATTTTTTTAATAAAAATAAAAATGCAAAGTTGTACAAAATGTCTTCCCTGTTGACATTATTTTCCTAATTTTCATCCTCATTTTACTTAACTAAAATTACAATATATAATTTTTAAACTTTTTTTCAAATTTAGTTATATGAATGTTTTGCCTGCATATATGCACAAGGTCAGAAGGCACTGAAACTGGAATAGTAGTAGATGGTTACAAACCACTATATGGGTGCTGGGAACTGAACCCAAGTCCTCTACAAGAGCAACAAGTGCTTTTAGCCGCATCCATTTCTCTATAAACATTTTCAGCTATCTTTTCAAATACTCATATCCCAAGACATGTAAGTTCAAGGCCTTTGAATTCAGCCAGGTTCTTCGGTATGTGATTTCATTCTGTGCTTAGCGCTATGTGCAAACAGAAGCTTTGTTCTTTGTGTGTGTGTTTATGTGTGTGTGTGTGTGAGAGAGAGAGAGAGGTGAAGCAAAATATATTTGTAAAGATGTAGGTACTAGAGTGTTTGCATGAGTCACAAATCCTCAAAGTGTGTTCTCAGGGCGGACAAGACATCAGCTTGGAAGAATCTCTTTAGAACAGGAAAACGGTTAAGGTGAGACTAGAAATCTGCAATGTGCTGGAGTAGCACCAACAAGGACTAGAAGTCTGCAGTGTGCTAGAGTAGCACCAAGCCATGATGGTTCACAACACTTTACAACATTCAAGATATACTCCAAGAGGCACATTTCTTCACTACAATTTTTTAAATCTGCCTGTTTAATAAAAGTCAGTGTTAAAAAGGTTGTGTAGGAGCCAGTGTTTGCAGTGTGCTTACACAATGCTGGATCTAGGTGCTCCATGCATCCTTATCTCCTCCATCAGTCTGAAGAGCCATGCTCGCCAGCAGCTGACTCTGGAGTGTCAGCAGGCTGAATTTGTATCACGGAGCTACCCACTAAGTACTTACAGTGAAACATACAAATAGATTTTCTCTTATGCAGGTGTAAGGAGTTAGGTTTTTCTGCCCGCCGCTGGTCTTGTCCCGCCACCGTGCCAGCCCCAGCACAGAGACTCTGTATTTGATATTATGCTGTTGGCCAGTTACTTGTTTCTTATTGGCTAGCTCTGTATTAAGTATTAACCATTTTCTATGTATTTCCACGTGGTCTTACCGAGAGCAGAGGAATGGCAGTTCTGTTCTCTCCATACTCTCCATCTTGACTCCTTCCTACTTCCAATTTCCTCCTAGTCTCCCAGTCCCGCTTATCTTGCTTTCCTATTGGCCAACAGTGCTTTATTCATTAACCAGTATGAGAAACATATATACACAATGGCATCTCCCATCATGCAGGTCATAGCACACCAAAGTAGGACCCACCCTCAAAGACAGCTAGTCGTATCAAAGGGTCTCTCAGTGATGATACTGATCAAAAAGGAATATGAAATTGACCTAGAAGATGGTATTTACAATATTTATTAGACTGACAAAAGAGAATAGATTTTTCACCAAAATTTATTTTCACTTTACACATACATCCTTTGAAATGTACATTATAAAAATAAAGTGAAAAACAGGGTAGTCGTGTTAGCGATATTTGATGTACTTCACAATGAATGGGGCTTCTATAGAAACAGAAACAAATCACGAGGAAGCCTAGAAGAGGGAGGCAGGCCCAGTGCAATGGGCTAGAATGCAAAGCACCTGGAGAGCCTCCAACAGTACCTGTGGATACAAAAGCAATGTCAAGGCCATTCATGGAGAAATACTTGAGCAAATTTATCAAGTGCTTCTTAAGTAAGAGAATTTTCTGTATGGCAAGATGACTGCAGAGATGCTAGGGGAGCGATGTTCCCGAGGCTAGCCACTACAGCCTTACTGTCCAGATCCATGTGCATTTGCAGTGAGCTTACTGACATTGATTCCAAATGGAATTATGTGCTCTAGTGCCTCTAAGTCACACTCACTATTTGCACAATATTACTACACACATTTCCCCTTGACTGGTATGAACATTTTATATAAATTTTATATAAAAATACTAAATTGTGATGATATTTATATTGGCTATTACCCTCTAATGTCAGTCTCCAGTTTGGTGTTTCCAAAAAAAACAGAGCATTACCAAAAGCTTTCTCTGTGCCTGTCCAATTCAGACAGACCTATCTTAAGTTTTCTCCCTCAGAGTTCTAAAGTGCTCTTTAAAAAAAAAAAAAAAAATCTATTATCTGCCCCTCTGGAGGTAGGTTAACATTGTCCTCTTGTCATACATGATGAGATCAGGTCTTACCACAGGTGACTTGTTTTAGGGTACTTAAATCTGTGACTAAAGGGTGGAATTCCAATGAGAGGCCAAGGTGTGTCATGCATATACCCATGCAAATATCTCTAAGTATTGAGTGCTCCCTATATAATGTTTGATATATATAGAAAACCTACTGTATTTTGTGCCAAGAAAGTTGATTTCATTGGTCTGAGTCAGAAGCAGAACACATCCTCACTAACACCTGAAAAGACTACTTCCTGAAGTTTCACACCAAACCTGTGGATGCAAAGGCATACTGATACAAGACAGTATGCATACTGGTCAGCAGACCCGGAAACTTAAAGAAACTACTTAATTTTACAATAGCTTACTAACAGGTACAATTGTGCTTATCATAGGTCATTTAATATAAAAATATATTACACATCCAAGTCATGTAAAACATACTTACAAATCTTAGTATTTGGGCTTAGAGCTCAGAGAAAACAGGAAAAAGCATGTGTGTGTGTGTGTGTACAGAAAATGGAAAATGAAGAAAATAAAACCTAATTTCAAGTGCATGATGTACTGGCATTTAGGATACGTGAGACACTCCACTGTAGTTACAACTGTGCCTAGCACAGTGTCAAGCTTAATTTAAACTTCCCCTCCACCTCAGAGCCACACTGTTCTCTTCTCTGTCCATCAGCTTTTAACTTGGGCATGCAGCTGAGTAGATGTTGCCCTCTTAGAAATTTACGTTAAAGACATTAATGTACAAGAATTCAAATACTTATACCAAGGAGCACTATAGTTAAAATAATTTTGTGCAATGTTTATTTGACCACAATAAAAATTTAAATAATTTAGCTCAAACACCTAAATTCTTATGCTTAACAAAATAAATCACTTAACATTTTGCATGTAAGCTAATGCTTTCTCCTGAGATAGGATCTTCTTTGTAGCTCTAATTAGCCTTGAACTTGTGATCTATCTGTCTTATTCTCTGAGTGCTGAGATTGTAGACATGCATCACCATGACTCATCCTAACAACAAAAACTGAAACATTCACTCAGCCTGTGGAAGTCACATTTATCATGACAATATGAATATAAGAAAGGTGTGTGTGTCTGAAAAAGCTAAGTAGGTGAGCTTGACCCCTTTGTAGAAAGCTCTGAATAATAGAAAGGAAACCTTAATGTCATTTTTCACCACCTCAGAAATTCTACTACCACTAAAATGGAGTGTTTTAATAAAAAAAATAATAATAACATATTGCAATGTTTGTGTTATCGGTATTTGGTTTTTTTTAAGTCTGCATTGGACAATTCTTAAATAACACTCCCTGGACTCTCACAGTTTATATGAGTGTCTTATCATTGGCAAGTTATAATGCAAAACAGAACACACGCTCAGAAGCTGTTTCCATGTGAAAAATGTCATAGTATTTGTGAGTTTCTTAGTCTTCTCATTTGTTTTCACTGAAAATCCCCATGTTCATGTTTCTTCAGAAGCTCTGTCATCAGTATTCAAGTATCTTGATTCTCCGTGCTTCAGAACAAAGAAATCTTCACTTTTAAGTCCATATCTCTCTAGAGCTTCATTCAGTTTCACTGGAGGCTCTAAGTAATGCTGGCAAGTGACAGGAAGAAAAATGAAAACTTACAATACAAATACTTGAGGGTTATTTCAAATAAACATTCAAGCTAAAAAATAAATTTAGGACACCAAAAGTTGCCTACATAGTTCCTTTAAATGAACCACTAGCAAATATGTCACTACACAATTTAAGTCACTAATTACAAAGTCACTAAAACTGTGTACTATGAGAAAGATGTAAGTCCATCCAAACCTTTGTGTGCACACAGAATCCGATTCCCATCTCACGTGATAAAATTGCAGTGTAGCTGGAATTAACACCAAAAGATACTAGAAGATTGGATGTGTTTAATTAAGCATGTGGGTCTCTCTGTTCATCTGCGTTTTTGTAGACAAGCAAGTATTTTTGGCTTAAGAAGGTTGTGAGGCACAACAGCCTCATGAGCAACTGTGTCAGAGGACAAAGGGGCCCATGACAGGAGAATAGACAAACAGTGCAGCCCCCTCCCATACTGCCTTAGTGCTCCCGGGCATGGCAAAAACAGCACAAGGAATGCTCCAGAGCGTTTTACACACTCAAATTTTGTTTTGTAAGACAGGGTTTCTTTGTGTGGCTTTGGAGCCTGTCCTGGAACTTGATCTCTGCCTACTGAGTGCTGGGAAGGACTAAAGGCGTGGACCACCACTAACTGACAAATATTTTCTTAAAAAGTTCAAACTGACTACGCAGGATGGCTTAGTGGGCCAAGATACTTGATGTCAAACCTGAGGCCCTGAGTTAGATGCCTAGACCCACATCATTTAAGAATAAAACTGACAGGTGGTGGCGGTGCTGGCACACACCTTTAATCCCAGCACTCAGGAGGCAGCCAGGTCTACAGAGCGAGTTCCAGGTCAGTCAAAGTTACCCTGTCTTGAAAAAAAAAGGATAAAGCTGGCCCTCTACATTCCTGCTATTTTTCTCATGTTCCATACACAAATAACATGAATTATAAAAGTACAGATCACTTGAATGTTTTCTTAAGTTATTTCCCTTTTGACCTAAATCTCTGCTGTATAATAGCTTTTAAAAAATTCATAAAGGATTGTTTTGTTTTCCTAATTAGAAAGGCTGTAACATTTGAAAGTTTAAAAAAAAAGTAAGTTTTCTGAACTAATCATCAGTGGGGGGGGGGGTTGGGGGGTCTATCTCCACTCCTGAGAATTGTCTTCTGTGCATCTACAGAGTATGTCAAGCTAGTGAACAAGAAAAAAGTCTTTCTCCTTCTAATACAGAGATAGACATGAAAGGAAATAAGATATCTGAGGACTTAATATATTCTGGGAAGAAGAGAGTGCTGGGAATGGGGCTTGTTTTAAATATAATCATCAAAGAGGCCCTTTCAACAAAGCTCTCCCTAAACACATACCCAGTGGGCAAGGCTACTCAGGGTGCTGCAGGAGACTTCAGAGCAGAGCTTGTCACCCAAATATAAGGCTCCCAGGCCACTTGGGAGGTGTCCTGATTTGATTCAAATTGTAGAGGGCTTGAGAGTACTGAGGACTTACTGTAAGGGACAGTGTGTAATAGTGAAGGCCAAGCCGTCCATGAGGGCAGCAGGAAACAGTTTACGTGTAAATGTGACTGGAGGGGAGGATCTAGGCTAGAAAGGGGAAAGGAGCAGGACACAAAGGAGATGTGGAAAAGAATTCTTTCACCGATACCCAGCCTGTTTTCCCACTGGCTGAGTTAAAACTCCAGACACAACTAAGAAATTCACAATAAAGGCTGCCTGCCTGGGTATCACACCCCAGACAAAACAGGCAATGAACTGAGGCTAAAGCCAAAAGCACACCTCCACCATTATACCCTCCTAGTATTACTAAACCATCTTCTTCTTAACCACACTCAGAACCTGCCCTTGGCATTCACTGTTTCCTAACACCGAGTTGTCTGAAATTCTGACTTAGCCTGAAATTCTTTCCTGTGGCATAAGATACCAGCTACACAAGCAAGCAGAGTCTCAAGGAGAAACTTGGATTGTCCAGGCAGAGTGCTAGCTGCATCTCCTCATTGCAGGACTGTGGGACAAGATGGCTGCCTAGTGCACTCAATGCTTACCAGGAGAGGAGCTAGCAATAGTGAGAAGAGATAACCAATGAGATACAAATGCCAGGAAACATCTCCTCCTTGCCTGTTTCCACATTTTGTCTATGTTTAAAGGATCACTGACAGCATGCAACTAAACCTTATTTAAGCTCTCATTAATGGATGGAGGATAGCAGGAATCTATTTTGTCTAATCTATATAATATTACACATACATATCAAATGTTATATACTGTGTATCACATATAGCACAAAAATAAATTACATCTATTTGTATAACCTTTAAAATAATGAAATTCTTCTCCATTGAAAATTAGCCCCTTATCATATGAACAACAGGGGTCAAGATCATGATGGGGAACCACAGAGACAGCTGGCCTAATGGACTCCGGACTAACAGCTGGGGAACCTGCATGGGACCGAACTAAACCCTCTGAATGTGGGTAACAGTTATGTGGCTTAATCTGTTGGAGTGGGGAAGGGGGCTGGCAGTGGGACCAGGACTTATCCTAGGTATATGAACTGACTTTTTGGAGCCCATTTCCTATGGTGGGATACCTTGCTCAGCCTTCATACAGTGGGGTGGGGCTTGGTCCTGCCTCAACTTGGTATACCAGACTTTGACTCGCCAAGAAAACCCTTACCCCATCGGAGGAGTGATGGGAGATGTCATTCTGTATATGTTTCTCATACTGGTTAATGAATAAAGCACTGTTGGCCAATAGGAAAGGAAGATAGGAGGGACTAGGAGACAAGGAGGAAAGAGGAAGTAGGAAGGAGGAGTCGAGATGGAGAGACTGGGGAGACGAGACGCTGGCCCCTTTCCCCGGTAAGAAGACCACGTGGAAATATTAGATTAACAGAAATGGGTTAATACTTAAGACAGAGCTAGCTGATAAGAAACAAGTAACGGGCCAACATCAAATACAGAGTCTCAGTGTGTTATTTGGGGCTGGCGCAGCGGTGGGACAAGACCAGGCAGCAGGCGGAAAAACCATACTCCTTACAGGAGGAGAGGATGGGGGTGGGAAGGGGAGAGGTGGGGGGAGGCAGGAAAAGGGGAGGGAAGGGAGCTGGAGCTATTATATAAAATGAGAAAATTTAAGTTAAAAAAAGAAAATCATGGCTCCTTTTGTTAAGATCTTGTCACCTCTGTTTCCCAAGGTTTTGGTCAACAATACAAATAAACAATCTCCCTACATTGATAACCTCTTTGCTAGCTCTAACTTTACAGTGTCAAGCATGATGCCATTAAGGACTTAGTACATTTTTATAAGGTTGTAGCTGGTGGAGACCTTCTGTCTTTAATTCATCTACATTTTGCAACATCTGAGTTTTTCCATGGGGATCCATCCAATGCCAGGCAGCCAGCACAGGACAACTGCTTAACAACTCACTTCCAACAAAACCTAGTAATAATACAACCAAGGTTGGCTAGCTCGCTAGTTTATGTAATTACAGAATGCTACATCAAAATTAGTGGTTTAGTTAGAAAGTTAGATATTAATACACATACCACACATACAGAACTTCATGGTGCTGATGAGTTACAGATATCTGTATCCTGCTTATATCACAATAAGCAGCTATTTCAAGTGCTTACACAAAATACCAAATATTTAGAAATTATAAGCTAAACATGTCTGAAATCCCACAGACTTTCACACTTTTACATTAGTTAACTAAATTGGTAACTACAAAAGAGTTAATGAAAAGATGAGTTGTTATTAAGAGCAGCAAAAAGAAATAAAGATGGAGTAATGGATGAAAATTCCCCTTTGATGTTTTGTTTTATTTTGCTTGAGCCTTTTGGCTTGCCACTTATTATGCAGACCAGACTACTTGCAATCTTCCTGTCATCAACCCCTGAGAGCCATCAAGCATATTTCTAGATAGTGATGTGGTGATTTGAATAGTTGTAGCCCCCACAGAATCCTGCATATGAATGCCTCAAGGAGTGGCACTATTAGGAGATGTGGCCTGCTGGAGTAGGCATGGCCTTGTTGGGATGCCATTGTGTATCACTGTGGGGTGGGTTTTGAGGTCTCATATTCTCAAGCTACACTCAGTGTGGTACACAGTCTCTTTATGCTGCCTATGGATCAAGATGTAGAATTCTCAGCTCCTTCTCCAGCACCATGTTTGCCTTCATGCTGCCATGTTTCTCATCATGATGATAATGAACTAAACCTCTAACACTCTAAGCCAGTTCCAATTAAGTGTTTTCCTTTACAACAGTTCCATGGTCATGGTGTCTCTTCACAGCAATAGAAAACCTAACTAAAACAAACGAAATCATTCTTTTTTGTTTGTTTTTTTGAGATAGGGTTTCTCTATTTAGCCCTAGCTGTAGACCAGACTGGCCTCGAACTCACACAGATCCACCAGTCTCTGCCTCCCAAATGCTGGGATTAAAGGTGTGCCACCACTGCCTGGCTGTGAAATGATTCTTGATGGCTGAGGTTTGATCATTTCCTAATCTGTCCATCTCAAGAAGGAGCACTACAGTCTGCCCAATCACTGAAGCTGAGTCTTCATCCCTTCCTTTACAAAGGCTTAATAACATACTACTATTCCAGCTAGGTCACTACAAAAGATACAAATGGAACATTCACACACACAAACAGGTAGAGACACCATAAGAAGTCATCAAATAGCAGTATGCAAATATGACAGTTTGTCCCTTTCCAAGTTCACACAGGTACTTCAGATGGGCACGCCATCTTCCTAGCTCTGTAGGTTTTCCCTTATTACTCCATTCCACCTCCAGAAGAGCTGCTGCATTACTCAGGGTTATTGCATCATAAGACAGATATTTCAATTAGGGGATAGAGCAAAGACAATTGCATCCCTTAGGTAATTTTGGAACTGTATCTAGGAAGAGACCACACCAGAAACCAAGCAGAGTAAGAGTGTTAAAAACAGCAAGGAAACAGAGTCTCCACAGAGGCCCTGGGAGACAGAAGTGGTCACCAAAAGCCAAGCATGGGAAGTTAACTTCTAACCCATTTCCCAGCATTGCTTGGGCTTGGACCCAGGAATGAAGAGAGGATATTATTAGACTTCCTGATCCCAGAACCCATGCCAGCAGCAGAGCCCAGTAATCAGTTCCCTGAGGAAGAATCAACGCTTCTGATATAACCTAAATAAACCACATTTATGCCAGTGTCTGGAGATAACACACACTGGAAGTTAACTGAATGGGTTCAAGATGTTTCTAGAAAGCCCCACATTCTAGCTCTCTACTCCCACTGCCCTCCACACCACCCACTGTCCTGCTGAACAAACTCCTCCCTTCCCCCATGCTTGCTACCTCCAAACTATGATCTGTCCTTGCCTCCACTGGAAAGAAACACTTTCCTTCTTGCCTGTGGCCAAGTTAAAATTGCCTTCTTCCATAAAGTGATTCCTGATCCCTCCCTGTCTTTGAGACCAATTAACCTGTCCCACATTATAGAACTTCCACCTTCTAGCATACAAACAATGTACGTGTCTTCTAGCTTCTAGCAACAGAAGCCATCTGGATGTGGAGATGTGATGGTTCATTTTCTACACCACACACACATTTTGGATAAGCCATGCTTCATAACTATGGAAATCAGCCTAAGAAACAGCAAACAGTTTATTCCTACTGTGTTCTAGTGTTGTCTTGCTAGTCGGTATGCTTTGCCCCTCCAGTTTATGTGGTGGCTGTGATGATTGTATGGCATCTGAGTCCACAGTGGTCTCTGAAAGCTCGGGCACAGAGATACCTAAATCCCATCAACAGTCAAGCACACAATCAAAGCTGAGGTTTCTGTCGTTTGTTTAACTCAAACTTACCTCATTAGCTAAGGCAAAAGTTCCCCAGTGAATTCCCACAGATCTCTTGGTTTGAACATCAATATGAATCCTTACTGCATCTTCTGGGTCTACATGCTGGTATTTCATAAACCACCTGATGGAACACAGCAATTAATTTAACCTATGAAAACAGCCTAGACTGTTTCATATAATCAACATTTAATAATCTGCAAATCTGGAGAGAGCTGAGAGCAAGTGCAGCTGAGAGCAAGCACTACTCTTGCAGAACACCTGAGTTCGGTTCCTGGTGCCTACATGACACAGCTCACATTGCCTGTTAGCCCAGCTTCAGGAGATCCAATGTCCTTGTATGCCTCCTTGGGCACTTAAACTCAGACCCACAAACACACACATATATGTGCATAGTTAAAATAAAATTTAAAGGAATAAGATTCTTCACAGGATTATAAATATTTGAAAACTCAGCAACTCACTGTGGTTATTTTTTCAGCCTCTCCCTAAGTGCCTCATATGACTTTATGACCGTACACCTAACAAATTTACCCAATCACTAGCAAATGTAGCAACAAGCAGTAGTGTTGCTTTCAACCATTTTCCAGTCATCAAATCCATATGGAGCTGATCCAGAAAATTTACAAGAAAAAGTTACTCCACGATTCTGATGTAACTATTCTGGGTTGTGACACAGGCATTAGGCTTGTGCAGCCAGAAATGAGAATCTCGGGAAGGAACTCAAGCAATGATGAATGAAGACGAGACTGTAAGAGAAGAAGCAAGGTGCAAGAGATGATTCTGCCACCCTTGCCTGAGCTCAGCTCCCAGGACCCTCACCAGGTGGCTCGCAATGGCTTGCAACTCCAGCTCTAAAGGAGCAGTCACCCTCTTCTGACCTCTATGGGTACCCAAACACATGGCATTCGCTCACACAGACACACAAATACCCATCAGTATTAAAACTGAAATCTTATGCTGGGCATGGTAGCACACACCTTTGATCTCAGCACTCGGGAGGCAGAAACAGGCAGATCTCTGAGTTGGAAGCCAGCCTAGTCTACAGAGAGAGTTCCAGGACAGTCAGGGATACACAGAGAAATGCTACCTCAAAAAAAAAAGTACATAAATAATAAATGAATAAAATGTTAAAATATGTGTAAACGAACAAACAAGCTTCTAAACAGAAGTAAAATATATCCACAGTAAAACCACTTCCCTCAGTCCACTTTTCTCTGGGGGCAAAAAAAAATCAAAATTCTTGTGTGTATAAATTGATAAACAAGTGAGTCTCAAGCTTTATTTCATGTTTACTTTGACTTTTACTGATGCTGTGCTTTAAAAACATGACTTATTACTTTAAAAAGCAGATACTCTGCAATTTTAGGAATGAATCAAAGAACTGTAATGAAGGGTAAAGAATTGTTACCCAAGCTCCAGTTACCATTGAACAAGGAAACCCTACAGACACAGACTAATCAAATGAAATCAAGCAAAGAGTTAGTGTACAAAGCCAAGTACTATGACATACACTACAGCCCTGTCTGTCCACATGAGGATCCTAAATTCAAGGCTGGATTACATTATCAAAACTGGACTACATTACTTCTCAAAAATAAACAATGTACAGTGTACAAAGGAACAGGAAAACCCCACTGCCAGTCAAGGCATTTTATTTAAAACATGATCAAACTGAACAGTGAGGTGTTGGTTAGGCAAAAAACTCCCAAGTGACACAGATAACAAAGTCCTGGAAGAGCGGCTGACACCTTGCAGCCCCTGAGTGCTGAGTGGTTGGAAAGTTCTCCCATCCCCTGAGCTTCTATTTCCATGTCTGTAATGTATAAACTTTGATCCACACTATAAAGGAAATGTGAACGTTAAACCAGACAGTTTGTGAAAACATCAAATGCAGCATCTATTCATAGACCCCTCCCAGAAATAACAACAAAAGCACCATCTGCAGGAAAAAATGAATTGTTTCTTATACGAAGGACATACAGGTCTTACTTTGCAAGCTATTAGTCTGGCTGAGGAGAAACATTTTCTTCGGATTCTTTACATCCAACTTTGCCACTACCAACCAATGCTAGAGAGACAAGTGCTCTGCCCTTCCCAGAACTCATCACCAAAGAGTCCATTCATCTACAACAGCAGTTGCTGGGTCCTCTGGGAACCCCAAAACAAGGGCAGCCTACAGAAGCAGCATTCTGCTTAGGTCCTGACGCTCAGGAGTGAAGGCAGAGGGAAACAGTCTTGGTGTATCTACTCTTCTATTAAACAATCCTACTGCAAATCCTACTTCTTTTCTAACTTCTGTTTACCTGAAAGAAATTCTGGTTTTTTTTCACTCTAGCCATTAAGATGAAAACGTTAGTGCTAAGGCTGACAGACCACTTGACCTAGCTTGTTCAGGGCTCCAGATTCAAGCCCCAGCATTACAAGTGGAAAAAGCAGATGTCAAATTCCAACTACAATGTCTGGGGATGAGAGACTCTGGAAGTAGGAACTGAAAGACTTTTTTTTTTTTTTTTTTTTTTTTTTTGCTGTAACCAGGTTACATGTGAACAGGATTCCTAAGTTTTATTTTATTTCTAAAACAGCTAGTATTGACACGACAAAACAAAACCAGATTCCACAGTACATGTGAGCTACCACATGCAATGCTCTTAAAGCAAGCCATGCCTTGGTCCCCATCCCCGAAAGAAGACAGAGGCACTGCAGAGAAGGGACAAGGTTGTGAGCATGCAGTTTGTGCCATCACCACAAATACTCTAAACACATATGCCACTCATGAAAGCTTGTTTTTATAACTATAAAGAGATACACTGGTGAGTGAAAGCCAACACCATTTGAAAATGATTAGTAACAGTTTTTTAAAGCCATGTTGATTAATAGTTTCAGAAGTTCCATGAGAATCAGAATAATTTGAATGGAAAAAGTAAAATTCAAATACTAATACTGACTTATAATAATTTCCGTTGTGGTTTGTAGTGGTGCAGTTTTTTGCTTGTTTGTTCGTTTTGGTTTTTTTTTTTTTTTTTTTTTTTTTTTTGGAATAGGTCCTCCTGTTCAACCTCCAAGTTTTATAGTTTAGAGACATGTTACAATGATTTTAATAATTACTAAGGTTACAAACAGGTAAAAGCATCTAAACCCACCCACAAAAAGGAAACAAGTAAAGCTAAATCAATAAATAGAAGAATAAGTGTTAATAAGGATAGAAAAATGGTTTGGTGAACTTAAAGGTTAACAAGTGAGTTTGACAGGGACGGAGATGTAGCTCTGGATTACAAAAAGAAAAAGAAAAGAAAAGAAAAAGAAGGAAGGGAGGAAGGAAGGAAGATGACATATGAACAGATAGTTAGTTATCAGGTGAAAACAAAATATTAGATTTACCCAATCCATCACTCTGTGTACAAACCACTCTGCAAGTGGGTCTCAAGCCTTGTTGAGATTATAGGTATACTGCTTCTATTGGAGATAACAATGCTTGCAGGGTTGCTTGAGCAACATACATGTATCGGCATGCGTATAAAGCACAGAAAAATCTGGAATGTATGGTGTGTGCATGTCTGTGAACATGTGTATGAGGGCATGTGCAGCCCAGAGGTCAACATCAGAGCTGTTTCCCTCCATCAGTCTCCACCTTCTTAAGAAAAAAATGATCACAGCGATCAAACTCAGGGCTTCAGGTTTTACCCTGATTGTGGGTGCCTTTACTGGCTAATTAGATTTGCTAGCTCATTTTGCCAGCCCCCACCTTGTTTTAAGGACCTGGATCTCACTGATTGGTTATACTAGCCAGTGAACACCCAGTATCCTCCTGTCTGCCTCCCCAGATCTGTAATGCCAGGAATGTGCAGGCAGGCAAGCTTTTTACTGTGGGTTCTGAGGATCCAAACTTGTATCCCCCATGGTTATGTAAGCACTCATTCCATTACCCAGGAAGCCAATGTCCTAGACTTTGTTACAGTCTTAAAGAGACAGTGTTTGCTAGTGCAGAAGGTAGCTGGGTGGTCTGGGTCTGCAGTGACAGAGTAGCCCTAAACTGCTCTTGAAATAAATGCTGAGCACACAGCGATAGGAGGGAGGGTTATAAATTCCCAAACACAGAGCAGACACTCATCTGCAGAAAGAATGTCCTGTGTGAAGGGTTCTGGGTACTGGCAGGAAGGAATGTGGGCTCTGACAAGGTATTAGAAATTTTTTTTTCTTTCTTTCTTTCTTTTTCTTTCTTCCTTTCTTTTTCTTTTTCTTCTTCTTCTTCTTTTTTTTTTTTTTTTTTTTTTTTTTTTTTTTTTTTTGTTGTTGTTGTTTTCCAGGATGGCTTTGAATTCACAGAGACTAAAGGAGTAAGCCGCCACTGCCCAGCCCAATTCTTTACACCTTGGTATAAATTGAATATAAATCTAACTTCAAACTCCACCAATGTACACTAAGCCCACCAATAAAATCACAATCACATCGTATCAGGACTCATTTACAAACCTTGGCTCATAAGCTCCAATGGGAATAGCTGCCAGGTCAAAGGGACCAAACCTCTTTCCTATCTCTTCAAACGCAGGGCAGTAACCAGTGTCCCCAGCAAAGAAGAATCGATTCCAGGGCCCCAACACAGACCAGCTGCCCCACAGAACCTTGTTGTCATCCATGAGGGTCCTTTTACACCAGTGTTGGGAAGGCGTGAAGACAAAGGTGACCTTATCATGGCCAGGGACACAATTCTCCTCCCACCAGTCCAGCTCAATCACGTTCTCACAGCCACATTTCTGCATCCAGTCCAGAAGACCCAGAGGCACAAACCATCTCAGCTCACTGCCAAAGCGCTCATTCAAAGCAAGGACAGATCCATAGTCCAGGTGGTCATAGTGGTTGTGACTAATAAGCACAGCATCTATCGGGGGAAGTTCACTTATTGTACACGGGGGACGGCGAAATCGCTTTGGACCCATGTACTGCGAGGGAGAAGCACGGGAACTAAACATGGGGTCTGTAAGGAATATAAGCTCATCCATCTCCACTATCAGCGTTGCATGTCCCAACCATGTGACTCTTAAGCCAGCCTCTGTCACTCCAGCTTCTTCGGGGTCACTGATAAAATATGGCTTAAGCACTGGGAGTTCTTTGTCCAGTTCCTGTATAGATAAAAAGAGAAAAGCAGTGTTTAGGGGGTGGAAAGACATTACATCATCACAGAAAATACTGTGACCTACATTTCAGCAAGGCCACTGCACTACCAGTGCACCGGCCACTGCAGCTCTTCTCGTCCATGCAGGCACTCGCTTCTCTCTAGATGTGACTTAGTAACCATTAGTAATCTGCTTAGTCCTGGATGCCAAAGGCAAAGGAAATTTCAATTTAAAATTGCAGAGTTTTATGGGGAAGGCTGTCTTTGGAAATTCCAGCAGTAGAGTGGCCTAGATGCAGTCACTCTGCTGTTGTCTCCTCACTGAGATGATGATGTATTTGCTGCCTAAAAACAGTCTCAGAAGTCCAGTCCCTGGGACTTACAGTGTACTGACTGCAATCGACATTTAACCCTTGGACATAAAATTCAAAGCAAAACACTGTGGTGATTCCTGGGACGGGGTTCTCCTCATTCCTTACCTTTACAAAGCAGGCTGATAAGAAGGTAAAGGCAGGAGACAATGGTGAAAGAAAACTAAGATGCCACTGACAGAGTTTGAATGAGAGGCCTGGCCAGGAGAGGAAAGGCAGAGGATGGTAGTGATGTCTCTTGAGCACCCCCAAGATCAAGTTCCCCACCTGGAAGATGGCACTGCATTGGTACGAGAACTGAATTAGGAATGGCTGTCTCACAATACACACTCTACAAGTATTCCAAAAGAAGATAGCATGTCCCAACCCCAATGACCAAGCATACACCAGGCTTGTTAATTTCTTGTATTTCTGCACAGCCAGTAACCTACACTTAATAGCCTAAGTAGTAGCTAGACACATTAAAATACTCATGACTGTTCAGCTATCTCCATACTCCATCCATCCATACACAGACTTATAAAAGTCCTCAACAGTGTACCCAGGGGTACAGTTGGTAGCATTTATAATCCCAGCACCTGAGAAACTGAGGAAAAAGATCAAGGGTTCAAGGGTAGCTTTTGTTAACATAGCAAGACCTGTCTATAAATAACCCAACAAAAGCAGTGTACCTATGGCTAAGATCCAATTCCTTCCCTCCTGTAATGCCTTCACTGCTCTCTCCTCCCTGTCAAACCCATTTCATCCCCTTGCCCAACAACAAGCTGCCCATGGGATGCCCAGTCCTTCCCAGCTGTATTTCACACTATTTATTCCTCTACACACTCTCTATCCCATACTCAAGGAACTACGTCCCATTCCTAGACAGAGTTTCAGAACTCTGCAGGATTCTGATCCATTTCTCACTGTGACACTGGGGGTGGGCTTTGAGGTTTCAAAGCCTGGCACCATTCCTAGCTCTCCTCCCTCCCTCCCTTCCTCCCTCCCTCCCTCCCTCTCTCTCTCTCTCTCTATCTCTCTCCTTTCTGCCTGCAGTTGAAGATATGATGAGTTCTCAGGGTTTCCTGCGGCCATGTTTCCCCACTATGAAGGACCCTCTGGGACCACAGCTCCAAATATGCCTTTCCTTGTATAAGCTGCCTTGGTGGTGGTGGTCCACAGTGGCAGAACAGTAGCTGACACATCTGTGCGCCCTTCTGCACCCACTGCATCTTCTCACTCATCTTCACAAATTTGCTCCTGGAATTTACTCGGGCCTCAAACAACACAACCTACCACTGAACAACCAAAAAGACAAAATCAGGGATCTGGGAGATGACTGCATTGGTAAAGTTCCTGAGTTCCGATCCCACATCTATAAGAAAGTCGTCATGGCTGCAACCCTAGCACTGTATGAGAGAAAGGAGGATCCCTGAAGCTCACGGGCCAGCCAGCCTACCCAAATCAGGTACAAGGATAGACTCTGTTTCAAAAACTAAGGGTCACAGAGTGACTAAGGTAAATACCCAATGTCAATGTCTAGCCTCCACACACAATACAAGAAAAGGAATGAATCACCAGAGTTTGAAAAAGCGGGTAGAATAGGAGGAAGGGAGGGAGAGAAGGGATCCTTCATTTCGTAAATAAAGTAAGGTTATTTTGCTTGTTTGATTGTTTGGCTAGATTAAGATTGTCTTGGCGGAAGGACTGAGCAATCTAAGGGACCTCAGACAGTGGAGCCAGGATGTATCCCTGGTGCACAAAAGGACTTTGCGAACACATCCCCCATGGAGGGATAACTGCCTTAACCAAGAGACAGGAGAGAAGCCCTAGTCCCTACTTCAAATGACCTGTCAGATCTACATGACCCCAACTGGATGGCATTCCCCTACATATGGAATTGGGGTGGGGGGATGGGAGGGGAGGGTGGTTAGGGTGCATGTGAGAGGGCAGAGAGGGTAAAAGGGAGAGAGGGAGGAAAAGAGGGAGGGAGAGAGAAAGGGAGGGAGAGGGAACTGGGATCGACATGTAAAATAATAAATTAAATTAAAAAATGCTTTGGCCCCAAAATTTAAGTTCAAGAACAGGTTACTGGGGAAAAGGATTTCTATTTTTGTTTCCACAGAAAATGAAAAGCTGTGGATTCCTTCCAGACTAATGTGGTTTGATCACGCCAGACCGCCTGAAACAGAGTACCAGGTGATCCTACATTCAAAACAGCTGGACAAAGCAGCCTCACAGACTACAGCCAGGATTTCTGCATCTTCTTAGAATCCCCCATGACAGCGCCCCTTACCAGCAGGAAGTATTTTGGAAGGAACGACATCCAAATTCCCAAATATTGTCTATAAATGTTTTTTTTCATTTAAATGGACTTGGTTATATAAAATAAAATAATAAAAAAAAAGATTGTCTTGGCTAATTTTCCTTCATAGAAACTGCAAAAGGAAAAATCATAAGGCCTGTAATTAAAAAGCAGATAGTTAATGTTTTCCTTTTCTTCAGATAAAATGGGAAAATACAAATGTTTGCTGTGCCAGGTCATGTTTACCTTTAGCCAGGTGATGCTAAGTACACTCTTACTGCCATGACAAAACACCACAACCAAGGCAACTCAAAGAAGAGTTTATTGGGCTTACATGCTTCAGAGGGTCGTCCATGACTATCACGGCGGAGAGTATGGCAGCAGATAGGCAAGTGTGACACTGGAGCAGTAGCTGAGAGTTTACACCCTTACCAGCAAAAACAAGACAGAGAGATGAAGAAATAACTAGAAATGGCTGGAAACCTCAAAGCTTTCCCCCAGTAACACGCCTCCTCCAACAAGGCCACACCTCCTACCCCTTCCCAAACATTTCCACTAACTGGGGACCAATCATTCCAATATATGAGCCTGTGGGAGCCACTCTCACCCACACCAGCACAGACACTCTGGTTTAACACTGTGACAGGTGTTTCGGCACATTAGTGGTAAGCAAACCAAAGCAGAGAGGGGCACCAAACTTACAGCTCACACGACAGATAGGTGATCTCCTCAAGAAGCCAGGCCTTCCTCACTTAACTCACTTCCTTTCACTAAGCCTTTACTGCCTTGGGATGGTATTAATTCACATTAAAAGTAAATAAAATGCAACACTGAAATGGTGCTTCTTGGTCAAATGATCTACTCTCCCGTCCTTCCCAAGATTGCTGCATAGTTGTTTTGAAGTCTACAGATGTCTTTGATCCTGAGTGGTGGCCGTAAGCTACAGGTTGTTTTGTAGGGAACGCAAATCCCCCACTAATTCGGCAATTTGTTGGTGAAAGTAAATAATGCTCTCATCATCAAATCTACAGGAAAAGACTTTCATGGGGAACCTTCTGTGATCCAAAAAAAAAAAAAAAAAAAAAAACTTTTAAACCATGTGCCATTTTAAACATCTAGTCTAAATCCTATTATAAGCACCTCTTGGGATCCGTAGTCTTTGGTTGACTGGAATTTTGTTTTTTCCCTATACCCACTGAATACAAAGGCTACCTAGTCATTTTGGAACAAAAGGGTGGATAGAATTTTCCATTGAGTAGATAAGAAAATTTCCTACAACTGTAGATAAGGAAATTTCCTACAACTGAAAAAAGCATATTTTCAGACTTGAAAATACCTACTAGGCATTGAGGACAATAATAAATAAGTACAGATTCCATGGTGAAATTTTAAAAAGTAGGTACCAAAGAGATGGTTAGGTTTGCTCAGTTTTGGAGGTTTCAATCGATGGGCACACCAGCAACAGCCAGAAGGCCTCCCCACTTAGCCCTACCTCTGAATATTTCTACCACTTCCCATAGCATCAGGCTGAGGAATAAGCCTTTAACATGTGAGCTGTGGAGGTCAAGTGAAATTTAAACTACCGCAGAATACCTCAGGGAATTGGGATAGAAAAAAGTCACAGAGTCAGAGAAAAGCATAAAACTGGTTCCCTAATGCATGGAGTCCCACTTTTTTTTATCCAGCTATGCTGTTCTCCAATTTGACAGCCTCTTCCAACTAATGGAACTCAAGAAGAGTCTGACCCTTCCCTTATTAAATTGCTGCCAATTCTTTTGTTTGTTTGTTTGGTTTGGTTTTTGTTTTTTGTTTTGTTTTTTGTCTTTCTTCCCTCTATGACTATGAATCACGATAACAATCAGACAAAGTCACAGAGCAGCAACAGTGGAAAGCATGAACAGCCTCTGAACCATGTGTGGCCTATGAGCTGACACACAGCCCTAATGTGACAGATACCAGGAAGGGCCCAGGAAAGAAACTTTCCCACCATGCAACTACACTATCCTGCTTATGACCCACTTTATTCAGACCTATCAATTACTGTATACTTTAATCATATGTTTCTCCTACAGCACTTTTATATATATATGTATGTATGTATGTATATGTAAACAAATGCTACTGCTTTTGTACTATAGTGATATAAATAGCACAAATAGCATAATATGTAATTACTTTACGCAAATATTTTCTTTTCAAAGTAATAACTTATGGCTGTGGTCTTCTCATTAAATGTTGGCCTCTCAAAGTCTAAGAAAATGACTTCCAGAAATCTGATTAAATTTGAGTTGCCCTCCACACTTGGTTCTTCATTTTTACTGGCATATTTAAGATCTGAGTCCCCTTCGGTATCTTTCTAATATCCCGCCTTTAAGAAGAGCAGCTTCACTGATGGACACAGCCATACTTCTACCTTCTCTTCCCTGCCCTATTCACTGTTGCACTTACAGTTTGATTTTGTGTCTCTGTTTGGTTGGTTGTTTTTTGTTTGTTTCTTTTTCCAGAGTCAGAGTTTCTCTGTAGTCCTGCCTGTCTGGGAACTCACTGTGTAGACCAAGCCTGCCTCTGCCTCCAGAGTGCTGGGATTAATGAAGTGCACCACACGCTTACATTTTAATAGTCCACACAAGTGACTTATTGACTTTGTTTATTCATTCTTTAGCACATAATAGTGTTCTCAGCACATAGATAGATGTGCTCAGTAAATACTAGCTAAATAAATGAGTGTATGGACAGACCGGAATTCATAAGATCCATGACGATAAGCCAATGGCAATGTACTTATTATGTACCTGTGTGTATTCCTCTACAGCTTTTGTTAGTTTCTCAGAAGGAACAAATATTCCCTTAAAAACCACTGGCCTGGCAGGTTCTCAGTCAACCCAGTTTTTAGAATCTCCCAAATTGTTAGAATGAAGAGACATAATTCTACCTTCATCCAGCCACTTAACTCTTTGAAATGAAACAATACTGAACCTATCATCACTAATCTCTATTTTTAGAAGCTGTGGCTCAAAACCAGGAAGAAATTTACACACACACACACACACACACACACAAAACCACATAGCTCACCTATCCTAATTACCCCTAATCCCTCTCCTCCTGGTTTAACTGTTTTTCCTCAGATGAAGTTCATCAAGGAAAAAACGAAAGGCCAGGTGTGTTGGTGCACACCTGAGATCCCGGCACTCAAGGATGAGGTTAGAAGAGCACAAGTTCAAGGTTAGTGTGAGAGGTAAATAGGTTCCAGGGCAGACTGAATTACATAGGGAGCCTGAGTCTCACAAACAAACACTTTTCTTGTTCCTTGCCTCGTCCTAAAACTCCCCACATATAAATGCTATCTATTAATGTCTAACCTAATTCTAAAAGGTCCTTAAAAAACAATATTGAGGCCAGACATGGTGAAACACACCTATAATGCTATAGGGCAGTAGAGTTTACAAGTTTGAAACCAGCCTGTCTCAATAAACAAATTAAAAAAAATTATTGGGCTCTAGGCTTAATCTTCAACAGAGCAAATATATGCATATGTGTGTATAAATGCATAATATATAAGTAGATTTACTATGAATATTTCTAACATGAAAGTAATAGAAGAATTATTTTCTTCATCATCCCCCTTTTTTGAAACTGGATCTTTCTGTGTAGCCTGAGGTGTCCCAGAACTCACTATGTAGATCAAGCTGGCCTTGAACTCACAGAGATCCACTAGCCACTGCCGCCTAAGTACTGGCATTAAAGGTGTGCACCACCCCACTCAGCATGATGTAAGATTTTCAATCCTATATCCTTTAAAGAAAAACAGGCAACATTTACCAAGTAGATCTAACACCAAAATCCACCTCTACCCACACAGCCCCTTACCTCTGCCCACTGTGGACCAAAGCCTTCAGGAATGCCCCTAGTCTTTTCATACCATCTCATCCAGCCCTGCCAAAACACATCTGACTCTTCTAATATTCTCTAAACTAAAGGGTAACAAATTATATCCTTAGTAAAACTACTGCAGTTAAAAGCTAATAAACTATAGTCAGCCTCGGTAGCTCTGCAAAGGACATCAAAAGGTTTCTTTCATAGCACTGGTGGCTGAGTCCAAGGATTAAAGACACATTTTAAGCCGTGCCTTACTTTGTAGAGAGCATAATCCAAATTCTTATCAGCTTGTTACTTTCTGGAACACACGATGCACCTTCTCACCTTTATATCATGATTCATGTGATCATCTGACCTAGAAAACCACTGCAAAATAGATTTCTAGGTTCAGCACACATACTCCTAAGATCCCCTACCAGTCAGAACTGACCACTTGTAACCCTCTGTTTCTAAAGCACTTTACCTCAGCCTCCGGCTACAGACTGCAAGGGATTATTATTATTTACACATGCACTGTGCTGCTAAACTAGGAACTTGAGGTAATGGGTCATAAGATTAACTTGTCTCTTCAAACTTACCATCATGTCTCTCCATACAGAAACAGTTCAAATCACTAAATAGAGGGCCATACCTCATAAAAAAAAAAAAAAAAAAAAAAAAAACCCTAAAATGTATGTATGTATGTATTTAAAGTATACACAAAACATTCAAAAACAGCTAAATGCTGCCTACCTCTTTGGAACCTGGAACACTGCTGTGGTCTTTTTCCATTATCAGCCATCTAAGAACACTTGAGATAGAGATGTTTTTCCATGTTGGCCATGGGTTAACAAATCTCCCATCTTTTCCTTTCTTCGATTTAGTGACATCTTCCTCTAGTCTATAATCCAGTTTGAAGCTTTTCCTGGAAAACCTAGAGGACACACTTCCTCCTGAGCTCTGTACTGAATTCTGGCGCTTCCTTACTGTTTCTTTAGGATATTGATAGCTTGTTGTTGGAGATGGGCTCTTTTCATTTTCATCCATGTCCTTTGGTGAGAAGCTTGAAAAAGAAAAAGAAAAAAGGAAAGGGGAGATTACCAAGTTTGACAAAAAGTCATTGTGGTAGTTTAAATGTAATTGGCCCCCATGAACACATAGGAATATCACTATTAGGAGGTGTGGCTTTGTGGGAGGAAGTGTGTCACTGTGGAGGCGGGCTTTGAGGTCTTGTGTATACTCAAGCCACACCCAGTGTCTCAGACCACTTCCTGTCGCCTGAAAGTCAGGATGTAGGACTCTCAGCTCCTTCTCCAGCACCATGTCTGCCTGTATGTCACCATGTCCCACCATGACCTCTGAAGCTGTAGGCCAGACCCAATTAAATGTTTTTCCCTTATAACAGTTGCTGTGGTCATGGTGTCTCTTCACAGCAATAGAAACCTTAAGTCAGTCATTAAAGCATATTAATATCATTGTCAGCCAGCAATATTTCCCCAACCTTGTAATAACTGTTTGTATTAATTCAAATGTTCTTGCTGCAAAATATATTTTTAAAGCCCAGTATTACTACTTGCTAAAAAGAAAAGATATTAGCCTTCCCAGTCAACATGCCAGCCAAGCCTTTCAAAGTCCCTTCACTGTTGTAACCTAAAACATTATTTCACTAGCCAGCATTTAGACACAAAAATGTCTGTTTCAATGACATTCCACAGAGTAAATAGAAGCACTATTATGATTTGGATACAAAGCACTCCCCCAAAAGGCTCACATGTTAAAGGCTCAGTTCCCAACAAAGCTGTTTTCAGAGGCGGAGCTTCTGAGAAGAGACTAGATCATGGGGGCTCTGCCTTCATCAACGAAATGATCAACCATTGGGAGGTGCAGGAATTAAGAAAGCTGGGACCCACTTGGATGAAGGGATGTACATTGGGAAAGAGATGCATTCCTACCTCTCCCTAGCCACCCTGCTCCAACATGCCTTTCTGCCACAGTGGCAGTCTCCCACAGGACAGGCCCAGAGCCCTCTACCATATACCAAAACCTCTGTGAACCAAAAATACTTGCTCTTTTTAAATTGCTTCCCTTAGGCACATGTCACAGGAAAAAAACAAATGAACAAACACAAGCACCTTTCCATATTCATAGTTTCATAATTGCTAATATTCTTAACAATAAGGTAAGACCTGCTTAATTTCTTAATGATGTCTCAGTAATTCAAGAGGCTTACATATAACTCTACTAAGCTTAGTCATTCTCATCATGACCTACTCTGTAACTATTCCCCCAGAGAATGAGTCCACCCACCAAGAAGGAGACAGCATATTAATTAACTTAGTAACAACATAAATTCTAAGTAATTCAGACTCAAAACTACCAAGACACTCCAGGATCCTAGCTTTGAATAAATTTCCCACCTGTTCATCTTGATTTTTCTTCATCTATAAAATGGAGATAAAGACATTATTGGCTCCTAGGGTTACTGAGAAGACTAAAACATCTGAGTCAATGAAAGCACTTGGAAACTTAGGCACACACCAGCTCAGACCACCTCAGTTGCTACCTCTGAATTTGTTACTGCACAATGAAATCCTTGATTGTGTAGCACGCAGAACCAAAGCTATTTAGAAGTGAGAAAGTGACAGATTAAAAGTATGAAGTTACCTGCCATGAAGAACTTCATTTCCTTCCTTGTATTAAGCAGACACTTGCTTTCTAATTGGTTTAGAATCAATGCATACACAATTACACGTGTTATAACCCTTAAAACAACAAGCACAAATTACAGCAAACCAAATGTTACTTTGAGGCCTACAGGGGTGATAAAATAGAAAAAAGTCAGAGAAAGAAGAAAAAGAACGCAAACCCCAGGAGGAATGAGCCCCAAGCTAAATTAAATAGCCAATCTGGAGAATAATCACTGATGAAGGAAGCTGCAGCTAACAAAAGCCTAAGCAAGCACTGTTAGGCAGACTCCACACCCCGGGGAGTGCCTGGCAGTGAGAGGGACTCACAGGCTTCAGACCTTAGGCAAACAACCCTCCTTTTCTCACCTATGAAACACCTAACTAGCCCCTGGAGGTTTCTGAGAATCACATGATAAAATGTACATTAAGTGCTTGGTACACACAAATGCTAATTCATTGTTTTCTAACCTGGTTAACTGACCAAATATCTAAATTCTTTATGTTCTAAAGCTTAAAGTGTTTTGGGTGAGGTGCCTCAGTTCCCACAGACTCACTTTTTGTGTCTTAAAATGTAGCCTATACTGAAGCCTTTACAGAGGCACTGGCTATCCATTAAAGTTCAGCTCCTTTCTCAGATGAGACTCTCGAGTGTAGATAAGCATACATTGCTATGCACACAGATAACATATCTCATCAAAGAGCTTACCTCCTGTTAAATTTTGGGGTAATGAATAGCTTCTGAGATAACTGCACTTGTTACACATATACTTACATGTCTCTATATTTATACACCTTTTAATACACACATAGATTGTAATTGAACTTACCAATTAAATTTTAGCAAGGTTGTAAAAAATAAAAAAAAAAGCAGAAAAAAGAAAAACAAGTATTTTGCTTCAAAGACCAGTATAAGGTTTGAGGGACAATATTTAGCAATCTCCTGCAGCCAAGACATACAAAGCTAGACAGGTATATTCAGGAGGTCACCCTGCACCTAGACCACCAATCAGAAAGATATGTCTATACTGTCGGCAACCTCGGAACACTGAAGATTCTTTAAAAGGGTCATTCAGGAAAGACAGCTCTAGTATCAGTAAAAAATGAAAAGAATGGTGTAGAGACTCAAACCAAGAGGCTGGGGGTGGTGGCACATGCAGAAACAGGTGGATCTCTTTGAGTTCAAAGCCAGTCTGCATAATGAGTTCCAGAACAGCAAGGACTATATAAAAGAGAGACCCTTCTCAAAAACAGAAACACAACAACAAACAAACAAAGACCAACCCAACCATAGAGCCAGGGAGCTGGATTACTGAGTAGAAAAGAAAAGCCTGGGACACACACTCACAGCAAAGCACCAACCACGTTCATACATTTCACTTAAATTAAGGCTGTCAGGAAGCCCCGAAATTAGGAATCATAATCTCCTGTCAAAGGCAGACAGCCCAGCCAATAGAAAATGAGCAAAGAGGAAAAAACAGTCATTAAAATAATTCATAGAGTGGAGTCAACAAAGTTGAAGTGTGTAAGATGTGAAGGCATTTGGATGGCTGGAAATTGTGGGAGCTTGGGAATGAGGCAGTATCAAGGAAGGAGTCTGACCTGGCAGAACCCCAATCAAGGCAGACTTCCTGAACTGTGGAAATAGAGTCTGATATCATGGGGAAACAAGACTCCAGATACAGAAGTCAGTGCACCCAAATAGAGATGGACAAGATCCAAGATGCTATGAGGCTGCTCAGAATGACAGTGAGAGCACAGAGAAAGATCTGGAGAGAGATGAGTGATATTTGTTCCCTAGACAACAGTTTTCCCCAGCGTCTGTTCATTGTCCTTCCTCTGATTCCCTTATGCTTTCCCCCTAATCAATCTATAGAACAGGTCTGCACAGCAAATGACTATCCATCCTCACTTTATACCTCCCATGAGCCCTACACACACCTACACACCTACACCTACACACACACACACACACACACACACACACACACACACACACGGTCTTCGGGGCTGGTCTTTTATAGGCAGATCTCATGCACACAAAACAAAAGAGAAGGGTCGCCAGGGCTTCTCCTGCAGAAGTCAGAAAGATGCTTCAGAAAGGCTAGGTTTCTGGCCCTACCCATGTTCCTCATGCCTTCAAACACCAGCCCATTGCCTGTGTTCTCCAAGTGTTAGTTCCTATCTTGAGGGCACCACGTGCCTCCACAGTGATCTACACATGACTCTCTAGCCTCTGTGGAGTAGGAAAAGGGGTGCATGAAAATTAGTAGTCACAGGATTATCTAATACTCCGTGAAGATGTCATGCTGATACTATTTGTATGCAGTTCTCTGCAGGATAATGAGAGGATGAGAAGAACTAAACCATGACCATCTGGAGTAATGCTTTCAGGGAGTGTAAAAATGACAACCTAAGCCTGATACCATGGAGACATACAGAGTCTGCCTGAGAGCTGAGTCAGGAGGGAAGAGGGCCTCTCATGGACTGACACCAGCCTCTGGTCACTCAGTGTCTACAGCAACAGACTCACAAAGGGCATCAGTAAACACTAGATGAAATGACAAGAAAACTAGAAATGAGTTGTATATATTGAAAAGCCCCACATTTGAGTTTTTCAAACGCAAATCTGTTACAAAAAAAAAGATGATAATTCTATATAGTAACCACCAAGTACACTGAGTATTAATTGCTTACTTAGTAGCAGAAAGACTCTACTACATCTCTAACCAAAGGGCGGTCTGAACCATGACATTTGGTGAAGAGAAGCCAGTCAAGTACAAATATTTTACTTCAATAACTGCACACATGGGTCAAATGCCTTCTAAAAACAAAAGTTCTCTATTTCGGGACTGTTTCATACTTTTGACATTTAAGATGTGCCAACTCCTAAGAACTGAATGTACTGTTTTATCATTTGAAAAGTTTGAAAATAATCACAACAGTGCAACATATGTTTGGGGCTTCAACATTTCGCATAAATTATGAAGCAGCAAATTAGAATTCCTGCAACAGGCATTTAATAAATATCGAGTGACTATTATACAACAATAATGCTGATGTTACAGATGGAAAATATTCAGAACTATATTTTCACACAAAGACTGTACAAAGCTACATTTACAATTTTAAAATTTGTTCATCTTATATTTATTTGAAGAGACGGGTCCTTTTACCACAATGTTAGATAGTATAGGTTAAAAAATAACAACGTCCCAATTCTCTGAAATAGCTACAAAGGACATCAGAAGACTCAAATGAACTCTACCTATCCTTGAGAGAACTCGACAGACATTGAGAAAGTTGATATTCTGGCAAATGTGCCTGTGCCTGGGACTGCACTATGTGTAACAAAGGAGAAATGTTCTGTATGAAGATT